CTTTGAAGAGAAAGGGATTCTCTTCCCATGAGATACAAACCCTTCTTATCTGTCATCTATTCAATGTTCTTCTGGCACCCGTGGCAGTGTCTAAATCTAGTTTACGAGTTGTAGTTAAACCACAATCTGATCCTTGACCTTTGCCTTCTGGTTTCCTTTCCAGACTCATTCTTACAAACTCCACTAAGTTTCTTGACTATCCCGTTCAACTTCTAGCATCCTGAACAAATGTGTCCCACTTTGCTACAATGAAAACACCGTGGCTTCCAAGTATCACCTCCAACCTCAATACTTTCCTTCCTGACCTTTGGGCAATCCAACTGTCCATGCCTTACCCTCACTACAAGCCTTCATTTCACTCTCCCAATTTCTATCCCTTTCAAATTTATGACGGTGACAGATAAAAAGGTTTAGAATTATCTCAAATAATTGCCAGCCATTATTGCTGCCCGTCTAGTAGTTGTAACCCTTTAGTCCTCAACATGGGTCCTTATTGTGGACAGTACTGAGTTTTAAACTTCCTCTCTGAGAATAACCTCTTCGGACATGGTTTCACCTTCTAATGTTCATATCCACCTGTCAAAATTACTCTGCTTAATCTTTCAAGTTCAGTGTTGGTTTGTGTTCAGTGAAGGATAGATTTCATTTGCTTTACCTGTCAATTTACTCTACATAAACGATGTTCAGTCCCCTTTTGCCCAATTCATTTGCCGAGCCATTTCTTCAAATGACTTGAAGAATGTTTCCAAGGTATTTTCCTGAAATTTTGCAAGGGCCTGTGCAAACTTAAACATTTCATTCCTGGACTTCATATGATGACTCAGACTCTCCTCACCATTTCCAGGGCTGCATAAGCATCTGATGTCTCATGTTTCAACTGCATCATTTAAAGCTTATATTTTCTCACTTCTTTAACGAAAACTGAATATCACAAGCTTCTGATATTTCACACCTGAAATGCTTGACCTCTTTAATATTTACTCTCAACCCAAGTGCTGCGCTAATATCTCAATTATCTCTGTCTTTTTAGCTCTGCCGGGCCAATAAACATGCTCTTTGAAATTTGCATTCAGAATGCTAAAAGTTGGAAGGGATACCCATGAGGTTTAGTGGAATTTGTAAGAATGAGTCCAAAAAGTAAACTAGGAGGAAAGGGCCAGGGATCAGATTTGGCTTAAACTGCAACTAAGAGACCAGAGTTAGACACTGCTGGGAATGCAGAAGAATATTGGGTAGATAAGTGTTACGAAGGTTCTATATCTAAAGAAGAAATAACCCCTTTTTCTTCAAATGAAAAATCCAAGCTCATTATAATACTAAGAGAAACTGGAGCTATTCGCTGGTTTGAGAAGGATTTAGTTTTCCCTCCAGTGAATTGTGAGTAAACAGAATAGATGGAGAATATACCCAGGGTTCCATTGTACAAAGTCTAATTGGAGTGTGATTTGTTGTCTGGCCCAGTGGTAGTTCACAGAATCCCTACAGTGTGGAAACAGCCCCTTTGGCCCAACAAGTCCACACTGCCACTCAGAGCATCCCACCCAGACCCATCCCCATATAACCCACCTAATCTACTCATCCCTGAACACTATGGGCAATTTAGCATAGCCATCCACCTAGCCTGCACATTGTTGGACTGTGTGAGGAAACCGGAGCACCCGCAGGAAACCCACGCAGACACGGGGAGAATGTGCAAACTCCACACAGACAGTAATCTGAGGGTGGAATTGAACCCAGGTCCCTGGCACTGTGAGGTAACAGTGCTAACCACTGAGCCACTGTGCCACTCCAATCCAGTTGGTGCAGTTAAGAAATTACCTGTGACTGAAGTTGATTTATTTCTGGGAAATAATGTGGCAGAACTGAAAGTGAAGACTGCTACTGACAACTCTTCCACTAGCAGGAAATATTTTGTCATTTCCAGTGCCATGGTTTAAATCAGCACAGAACCTGATGTCTTCCTTCACCTGTATTATTTACCAATACCCACAAATCCTCGTTGCTTCTATTTCTAAATTAATCTAATGAAATCCAATCCAACTACAGACCATGAGTCCAAACTTGGTTTCCAGCATGCTATCCTGTGTGTCGTAACAAAGTCCCACCATTCCCAGAGTCATCACAAAAATTAAAGATTTATGAAGTGTGCAAAGTTCCCAACTTACCTTACTTTCAAATTTAGTTTGATGGAAAGTATTGGCCTGGATTTCTGTACTGAACAAGAATGACTATTTATTAAAAGTATGTGGACTTTAGCTACAGGTAACAGTTACAAACTGTCAACTTGTTTTCAGCGGCGGCAGCGCAGCTGTTTTTTTTAAAGTTTTTTTTATTATTCTGGAAATCTAGAGTAGAGGGAATGGAAGCTAGGGCAGTTGCATGCTCCTCTTGCAGGATGTGGGAGGTAGGGTCACTGCTGGTGTTCCCTCTGACTTCACTTGCGAGAAGTGCACCCAACTCCAGCTCCTCAAAAACCGCGTTAGGGAACTGGAGCTGGAGCTTGATAAACTCCGGATCATTGGGGACGCTGAGGGAGTGATAGAGAGGAGTTATAAGGAGGTGGTCACACCCAAGGTACAGGAAAAAGGTAGCTGGGTGACTGTCAGGATGGGGAAAGGGAATAGGCAGACAGCACGGGGATCCCCTGTGGCTGTTCCCCTCAATAATAAGTATACCGTTTTGGATACAGTTGGGGGGTACGACCTACCGGGGAAGGCCATAGCGGACTGGTCTCTGGCACTGAGCCTGGCCCTGTGGCACAGAAGGGAAGGGGGGAGAATAGAAGAGCAATTGTAGCAGGGGATTCAATAGTAAGAGGCACAGACAGGCGGTTCTGTGGACGCGAACGAGATGAACAGATGGTACGTTGCCTCCTAGGTGCCAGGGTCCATGATGTCTCGGATTGTGTCTTCAAGATCCTTAAGGGGGAGGGTGAGCAACCAGCAGTCATGGTACACATCGGTACCAATGACTTAGGTAGAAAAAGGACAGAGAATGTGAAAAACGAGTACAGGGAGTTAGGTTGGAAGCTGAAGTCCAGGACGAACAGGGTAGTTATCTCTGGATTACTACCACTGCCACGTGATAACGAGGTAAGAAATAGGGAGAGAGTGCAGCTAAACACGTGGCTACAGGGCTGGTGTAGGAGGGAGGGCTTCCATTATGTGGATAATTGGAGCACATTCTGGTGAAGGTGGGACCTGGAAAGGAAGGACAGGTTGCACCTGAACCAGAAGGGCACAGATATCCTGGGAGGGAGGTTTGCTCGAGCTATACGGGATGGTTTAAACTAGATTGGCAGGGGGTGGGGAACTGGATTTGTAATTCAGAGGATGAGGTATTCAGCCTTCCAACAGACGCAACAGGGAGTGAGGTTGTTAATAAAGAAATGCGGTCGATGAAGCGTAATTGTGGACACAGAGATGGTTTGAGGTGTGTATACTTCAATGCTAGAAGTATCAGAAATAATGCGGATGAACTTAGAGCATGGGTCAGTACTTGGAATTACGATGATGTGGCCATTACAGAAACTTGGGTAACTCAGGGACAGGAATGGTTGTTGGAAGTTCTGGGATTTAGATGCTTTAAAAGAAATAGGGAGGGTGGAAAAAGAGGCAGGGGAGTGGCATTGCTAGTCAGGGCTAGTATAGCAGCTGCTAAAAGGCAGTTCGAGAATGATATGTCTACAGAGTCAGTTTGGGTTGAGGTCAGGAACAAGAAAGGAGCAGTCACTTTGTTGGGGTTTTTTTTTTACAGACCCCCTAATAGTTGCAGAGAAGTGGAGGAGCGGATTGGGAGACAGATACCGGAAAGGTGCAGAAGTCACAGGGTTGTAGTCATGGGTGACTTCAATTTTCCAAATATTATTGGAAACTTTTAAGTTGTAATAGTTTAGATGGAGCAGATTTTGTCCAGTGCGTTCAGGAAGGATTCCTGTCACAGTACGTAGATAGACCAACACGAGGAGAGGCCATTTTGGATTTGGTGCTTGGCAATGAACCGGGCCAAGTGTTAGACCTGTTGGTAGGACAGCATTTTGGCGGTTGTCCTCGACAGCAGGGTCAAACGAGTTAAACTTCCCAAAGGCATTATGTAAGAAATACTTACACCAATTCAAAGATGCCTACTGTGAACAAATTTCTTTAGGATTATGCTTTACTCCCATCACCACTAAATTGATGCCACAAAGGCCTTTATCTCATCACCATATCTCACTTTATTTACTGATGAACAGTATGTAACTTTTATACTACCTCATTCAGCATCAAGTACCAGAGTGTCAGTATCTCTGACACTCGCCCTTTTTATATGTCAGCCAGTGCTCTTTGATTAGACCAGACAATCAGCCCCATCATATTCTATGTTGTCCAGCTGGCTGACCTCATTACAATCACTCACAGGTGTACCAGCATTTTTTTCAATCACACATTATGGGTTGTACTTTCACATGGATCCAACTCCCCCATTTCCAGGAATCAGCTGAAGGGAAAGAGAGACACACTCAGACACACCAGCATTTCTCAATTTCTTCTTTTTGTGAGGAACAAATTTGCCACCCAGCCCCTTCCTCTCTTCCCATTGGTGTCCCTCACTCCCCCTGCAATAATGCTCCTCTCCGTGTTGCTGAGGTCATACACTCGATACAACATGTGCCGCTCTGCAGCCCTGAGCCATGGGGTGCTAATTCCCACAGAGGCCCACACACTGAGTTACTGAGATCTACAATATCCACCCCAAAGAGGCTGAGTACTGGTGCGGGGCAATCATCATCGGTTGCTCTCACACCTTTCCCAGTGCCCACCTTGTTCTCTCAGACTGTTAGAAAAAGGGGAGGAGGCAAATTCGACTGTCAAAAAATAAACCGCCATTAACCAAGCGCCAGGATAGTAAGCAAACACTGGAGTAAGTCAGTACTGTCTGCAATCAGTCCCCGTTAATGTTCGTCATTAATAAGAAAACTCTCCCTCACTATATTTCATATCAGCAAAAGTGTCACTCACCTTAATTGCAGCTTGTGCCTGATCCAGGCTCAGCAACGTGTGGGATTTATGTCTCCCTGCTACAATACAGGAACCACACACACACTCCGCATCATCATTACAGTAAAACTCGAGAATTTTTTATGATCAAAACACTCTTCCTTTAAGATTTCTGAGAGGCTCAATGAGCGTGTGATCTTTATAGGAATCTTTCAGTAAATGTGGTTTTAAATGTCGGGAGCAAAAAGATGTTTCACATTTCAGACACGTCTTCACAGCTGGAGTTGGATTCTCGACGCAGTATACACACAACGCATGAGGTGATTCAGTAGGAGACTGTGAACGGTTGCAGTTTTCCAGTATATTACACAGAGTGACGTTTCTCTCCAGAATGGGCCTGCGGTTGAATTTCCGACGACACTGAGGACACTCAAACATTCCTAAGCTTGGTGTCTGGTCCCAAACTCCCTCAATACATTTCAAACAGAAACTGTGTAGACAAGGCAATGTCACAGGATCCTGGCACACCTGGAGACACACAGGACAGGTTAATTCATCTTTTAAATCTCCAGTCTGCATCTTTCCAAATCAAGAAATAGTGTTCATTCAGCACTGGAGAATCTGAGAAACCACAGCAGGAAGTGAAATTCTTGCAGAAAGACACTGGGTGGAGGGAGTGATAAAGTTAGTTTCACTTTCATGATTCATTCTGGCTCAAGATTAACTCTTTCATGCCCACAGCAACAGTTCAGAACCAAAGTTAGAAGGGTGAGATTGCAGTTTCAATTAGGAATGCAGGAGTGCATGCCAGGAGCAACATCAGGCATGTATAACTGAGGTGGCATCCTGGTGAAGCCACAACAGAGGACTGCAGGGTGTCCCTGATTTATGAACTTCGAACTCACAAATGTATCTTGTACAGGGTGTAGTTTTTAAAATCTGACATACAAACATTTCCTGTACATATAAAGAGCTCCTTTATGTGGCCTGCATTGTGTTCTGACTTGCATGGTATAAGTCAACTTGTGATTGGTCTCAAGAATGGAACCTGTTTGCAACCCAGCGATTGCCTGTACTTGCAAATTGAACAACAGAAGCAGCATGTAAACACCAGGCTAAGTGATCCAACAACTAATCAAGCAGAATTAGGCTCTTCTGTCCTGTCACAGGACTGACTGTCCTGAATGGTGGTAGATGATCAAACAGCAAACTTTTATTTTCATTTCATTTCATTGGCGTTCCCTCACAGACGAGGATGGCTCTCTTCCACTCTGTACGGTGGCTGTACAGAACGATGTGGCTACCACAGGTTCTCTTACACTTGGAGCAGTTTGTGGTCACAGGAAGAGGTGGGTGGGATATTGGTGTGGCAGCACGGACCTTTCACTGTTTTCGCCTGCCTTCCAGTTTTTCCCAATAGCAAGTCTTGAGGTATTCGACGTCTTCCTGGATGGTCCTTCTCCACTTTGGACAGTCTTGGGCCAGTGTAAGAATGCCGCACTTTACCAGTGAGGCCTTGAGGCTATCACTGAAGTTCTTCCTCAGTCAGCCTGGGGCTCATCTGCCATTTTGAAGCTGGGAGTAGAGCACCTGCTTGAGGAGCCTCACATCAGTCATGCGGACGATGTACACAGCCCATCTTAGCCCATCGAAGGTGGTCAGCGCTTCAATGCTGGAGATGTTGGCCTAGTTGAGGACCCTGGTGTTGGTGTGTCTTTCTTCCCAGCAAATTCACAGGATCTTGCGTAGGCAGCATTGGTGGTACTGCTCCAGGGCCTTGAGGTGTCTGCTGTAGACAGTTCACGTCTCAGTGCCATATAGGAGTGCGAGAACCACCACAGCTCTGTAAACCATGATCTTTGTGTTGGATCAGAAGTTGTTGTCCTCAAACACCTTTTTCCTCAGGCAGCTGAAGGCTGCGTTTACACATTGGAGACAATGTGGGATCTCTTCATTAATAGCTGCTTTGGCTAACAGGACACTTCCAAGGTATTGGATGGTCAATGTTCTCTAAGGCCTCCCCGTGGACCTTGATGATTAGGGGTTTGCTCTACAATGTCAGGCCAGGTTGGTGGAGGACCTTCATCTTGCTGATGTTCAAGGTAAGACCCATGTTCTCAGATGCCTCCATGAAGGTGCTGATGATGGTCTGGAGTACATCCTCTGAGATTGCACATACAGAAGATGAAGAACATCTGCATATCGCAGCTCGATGACACCAGTTGGGGTGACTTTGGTTTTGGCTTGAAGGTGATGGAAGTTGAATAATTTCCCACAGGTTCTATAAGTTAGCTTCACTCCATGGGGAGCTTGTCGGCAGTGAGGTGAATTGAGGTAGATCGAGAACAGTGTTGGGGCAGTGCCGCAGCCCTACTTGACTCTGGTCTGAAAGGGGAAATGGTTGGTAGCGGAGCCATTTGTCGTTACCATGACTTCCATGTCATCATGAAGCAGATGAAGGATGGTGACAAACTTCATGGTGCAACCATAGCAGAGAAGAACACTTCATAATGCTTCCCCACTGAGGGTGTCAAAGGCCTTTGTAAGGTTCGAAGAAGGCCATGTACAGGGGTAGGTCTGTTTCTCTGCATTTCTCTTGCAGTTGTCGTGCAGTGAAAATCATGTCCATTGTGCCCCTCCATGGCCAAAAGCCACACTGCGACTTCAGGAAGAGTTCCTCAGATACAGGTCCTGTGCACTGCACTGTAGGCAATCCAAGGCCAAACAGCAGTGGCTGGTCTCCTGTTGTCTTGGAACCCCCTCAGCAAACAACAAACATGAGGAGGAGGCTCCACAAACTTTTCCACTCTTAACAATAGAGGAGCCCAGCACATAAGTGCAATCGAAAAGACTGAAGCATTTGCATTCATCTTGGTCATCTCTGAAGGACACCAAGCATCATTGGTGCCAGTCTTAAGCCAATTCGATTCACTTCACATGATATTAGGAAATAGCTGAAGGCACTGGGTCTTATAAAGCCTATGGGCCCTGACAACTTTTCAGCAACAGAACTGAAGACTTTTGTTCTTAGGCATTCTTAGGATCGAGGATGATTTTCTTCCATTCCTGTTTTTGTGGGCTCTGAGGTCACTAAACATTCCAAAGCTGGATCCACACAACCTGCCACAGGTTGGATAGGTAGTGTTTCAAGAGAGTGGTTGGGATGTTTTGGTTTTTGCACCTTCCGCTGCTATCACTTGGCCTCCACGTAGGCCTATAGGAGCCACCCAAAATGGTTGCCTCTTTCGTGGATGCTTCTTCTGCAGTTTGGGCTAAAGATTCCCATGGATCGGTGGGAATGTTGCTCTTCTTCAAGGACATCCTTGAAGCATTACCTCTGCCCTCCTAGTAAACACGTGGCTACAGGTAGAGGGCTTGTTTTGGGAATTTTGTGTCAGGATTGCAAATGATGTATCCATCCAAAGCAGCTGATTGATAGTAACCACTACTGCAATGCTGTGGATGTTGGGCCAAAGAGGCACTGATATTGGAATGCCTATCCTGCAGATGGAATGCAGAATTTTGCAGAGGTATTTCTTGTGATATTTCCCAAGGGATTTGAGCTGCCTGTTCTACACTGTCCATGCTTCTGATATGTACATGACAACTGGTAACACTGCTGCATGATAGACTATAAGCTTGGTGTCAGGTTTGAGGTCTTTGTCATGTAGCAATCTGTTCCTCAGACAGCCAAGGTTCGTGCTGGAATACTGGAAGTGGTATACATATTATTATCTATGTTTGCCCTTACTGTAAGAAGGCTCATAAGGCCTAGTGATTTATTCACATTGTACAGTGACTCACCATGATTCTTGCAGTTGAGGCAGTCTGGTGTGGCAGGAACAGACCAGTAGAGGACCTTTTTCTTCCGAATGTTTAGCTTAAGGCCCATTTTCTTTTATGTCTTCATGAATGCATCGATGATAGATTGGATCTTGTCCTCTGAGTGTGCAAACACTAGCAAGTGTCACCAGCAGCCCAATGACAGAGTTAGCGTGGTCTTGGTTTTGGACTGGATGCAATGCAGGTTGAACAATTTTACCCTTGTTCTTTAGACTAGTTCCACTCCAGCAGGAAGCTTCATGGATATAGGGTAGTGCATTGCAGTGAGGAAGATGGAGAAGAGTCTTGGTGCAATGACACAGCTTTACTTGCTCCCAGTTTGTACATACGTCGGATCTCGTGTATGTGTTGACAAAGTTCCTCACATTCACTGTGCAGCAGGTGGAAGGTGATAAATTTCTGTGGGCAACCAATTTTAGAAGGACACTTCAAAGACTCCAACCCTTGGTTGACAGAGTCAAAAGCCTTTGAAAGGTTGAAGAAGGCCTCTTTCTTGAATTTATCTTGCTGTGAAGGTCATATTCACTGTGCCTCTTGATGAATGTGACTCCAAGAGGAGCTCTTCATGCACAGGGAGAAAGATTTTGAGCAAGATTTTTGCAATGACCTTCTCTGTGGCAGACAGCAGGGACACCAGTCTTTCATTTCTGAGATTGATTTTATCTCCTTTCTTGAAGGTGATCACAATTACAGCATCTCAAAGATCTACTGGTATGCTGGTGTCCTTCCAGATGAGATGAGATTGTGTGGAAATGTTGTTTTGATAGGTCAAAGTACTTCTGCACTGTGTTTTAATATTGACAGGCTGGGATGCTGATGAGATGATGCCAGTAGAAGGTTGTGTGATGCCATTAAGGACACCATAGCACAGCTTCAGAGTCAGTACAGAAAACCCTCAACACACACATTAACTTTCTGCCCTTGATGAGCACCACCCTGTTTAGATGTCACAGTGGGGTAGGTCATTAATCCATAGAGTTTTACTGCATGGGAGTAGGCCCTTTAGCCCATTGTGTCTCTCTTGGTTATCAAGCATCTATCTGGTTTAATCTCACTTTCCAGCACTTGGCTTGTAGCCTTGTATGCTAAGGCATTTCAAGTGTTCATCTAAATGTTACAAGGGTTCCTGCCTCTCTTACACTTTCAGCCAGTGAGTTCCAAAGAGATAGAAAGTGCTGCAGATGCTGAAGTCAGAGATAACACAGCGTGGAGCTGGAGGAGCACAGCAGGCCAGGCAGCATTAGAGGAAAGGGAGAGTTGACATTTTCGGTCGGGACCCTTCTTCAGAAATTCCAAATATTGAAGTTTCAAATATTGACCACCATTTTTTAAAAATCCCCTGTGAACCTCCAGCCCCCTCACCTTAAATATATGACCCCTGACTATTGAATCCTCCACTAAGGGGAAAAGATTCTTCCACGCACCAAAAGAAATAGGAACAGGACGAGGTCATGCAGTCTTTTGAGCCTGCTTCGCCATTCAACAGGATCATGGCTGATCCAACTTTCCGCACATCCATTTTCCTGCCTTCTCCTCATTACTATTTGCTTCTACCCAAATGGACTTTACATCACCAAAGCCTAAATCATCTCTCAATCATTCCTGAATATTACTTTCCCAGTTCTGATTGTAAGTTTAAGAGATGTCAGGAGAGACCAGCTGAGCAGAATATGCAGCTTTTCATATCTGGGGAGTCCTGGATGCTGCCAGTGTCCCAGATGACCACATGTGCAAAGAAGTACTCCCAGCTGCAGAAGCTGGACCTCCAAGTCTCAGAACTTGAGCAGCAGCTGGAGACACTGCAGTGCATCTGCAAGGCAGAGAGTTATGTGGATAGCAACATAGCTCAAGGGACTAGAAAAAAGCAGGGAATGGGCAACCACCAGATAGCCCGGAAAGAACAGGCAGGAAGTGCTGGAGTCCCCTGGGATTCCACTCGTTAACCAGTATTCCATTTTGGAAGCTGATGAGGGTGCTGGTACCTTGGTGGACTGTGGTCAGAGCTAAGCTTCTGGCACCACAAGTGCTTGACTGTTCGGGCTGGGGGTGGAGGAGGTGGAAGCAGAAAGGAAAGGCATTAGAGATAGGGGATTCTTTATTCAGGGAAGCAGACAGCTGTTTCTGTGGCTGAAGACGTGACTCCAAAATGATGTGAATCCTTCCTTATGCCACGGTCAGGGATGTCACTGAATGGCTGCAGGGCATCCTGAAAAGGGAAGTTGATGAGTTAAGAGGTCATGATACATTTTGGTACCACTGATATGGGAAAAATGAGGAATGAGGTGTTGCATCAAGAATTCAGGGAGCTAAGCAATAGGTTAAAGAACAAGACCTCAATGGTTGTAATCTCTGGATTACTCCTGGTGTCATGTCCTAGCAAGTTTAGAAATAGGAAATAGGACAAATGAATGCGTGGTTCAAGGGTTGGTATAACAGGAAAGGTTTTTAAGGTCTTAGCGAAAATTTGTAGCTCAGGTTGTGGATATAGCTGTTCTTTAGCTTGGTGAGCCAGTTGTTCTGTGGTGTGCAAACGTTTTGTTATCGTTCTAGGCAACATCATCAGTGCGACCTCTAAAACAAAAAAAGAAAAGAAAACGAAGAAAACAAAAGAAACAAAAAGACCCAACAAACAGCTCCCGCTCTTAGACATAACAGTAGAGAGACTAACTGACAGCGAATTTCAGACCCGAGTATACAGAAAGGCCACACACATGGACCAAATCCTGAACTTCAATTGCAACCACCCCAGCATACACAAAGAGAGCTGCATTAAGACACTATTTAAATGAGCCATATCACACTGCAATGCTCCAGAACTCTGGAGAATGGAAGAGGAACACCCGCGCAAAGTATTTACTGACAATGGATACCTAAGAAGTTTCGTCCGCAGATGCCTACAAAACAAATGACAGTCAGAGGACATGGCACAACGGAAGACACTAGCAATGCTACCCTACCTTAAAAATATATCAGAAATGAGAACCAGACTCCTAAGACCGCATAAGATCATGATTGCACACAAACCTACATCAACACTGCGTCAAATGTTATCAAAGACTTAAGACCCCAAACTGACAGTAAACAGGACTAACGTGATGTACAGAATCCCATGCAGTGAGTGCAATAAACATTACATTGGACAAATGGGGAGGAAACTGACAATCAGGATACATGAACACCAGCTGGCAGTAAAAAGACATGACCAATAGTCACTTGTCTCGATACACACAAAGGGCCGTCAGTTCAACTGGGACAAACTGACTATACTGGGACAAGCAAACAAATGACATTACAAGGGAATTTCTGGAAGCCTGGTTCTCAACACGGGTCTCCATTAACAAACACAGAGAAATAAATCCCATATACAGACTGCTGCTAAAAAACAGAACTGGAAGTGACAAGAGCCATCACACCAGAGGAGCAGAACACCAATGTTTATTTAGAGGTTGCGCTGATGATGTTGCCTAGAATGGTAACAAAATGTCTGCACACCACAGAACATCTGGCTCCGTGAGCTAACAAACAACTACAAGAGGAAGGGTTTTAGATTCCTGGATCACTGGGACCATTTTTGGGGAATGTGGGACATGTACAAATGGGACAGTCTGTACCTGAACCACTTTGGGACCAACATACTTGCAGGTAAGTTTTGTAGTGCTGTTGGGGAGAAGTTTGAACTAGTCTGGCAGAGCGAGGGTGTGTAAAATATTGATGAAACAGAGACACATCATGCTACAGCAAAAAAGCAAGTCACAGTAAGTTCAGCTATGTTGAGTATAAAGAGAGTAAGGCAAGGCTAATTGGTCTTTAATGTAAGGAGTATAATAGATAAGGCTAATGAGTTAACAGCGTGGATTTACACATAGAAGTGTGATATTGTTGCCATCACAGGAACATGGTTGAGGGAAAGGCTGGACTGGCAACTCAATATTCTGGGGTATAGAATCTTCAGGCAAGACAGGGGAGGTGTAAAAAGGGTGGTGGTTAATTAATAGCACTATTAATTAAGGAGTCAATTACTGCAATAAGGACAGATGATATCCTGGAAGGGTCTTCAAAAGAGGCTTTGTGGGTAGAATTTAGGAATGTTAAGGGGGCAGCTACTTTACTGGGAATGCATTACAGGCCCCCAAAGAGACAGTGGGAAATAGAGGAGCAAATATGTAGACAGTTTACAGAGGTTTGTAAGAATAATAATTGGGTAATTATGTCAGGGGATTTCAAATTTCCCAAAATAAATTGGGATAGTCATCATGTTAAGGGTTTAGAGGAAGCAGATTTCATGAAATGTATCCAGGCTAGTTTTTTATATCACTACATAGAAGGCCAAACAAGACACAATGCAGTGCTGGATCTGGTTCTGGGGAGAGAAGCCAGACAAGTGTTTGATGTGGCACCGGGGGAGCATTTGATGATAGCAACCACAATTAGGGTACTGTTCAAATATTTTCTGCACAAAGAAAAAGGTGGCCTGGAAAATATGACTTTGGACTGAGGGAAGGTTGGTCAGATGGGCAGTAGCAGATGGTATTTAATCATGATAAATACAAGGTGATGCACTTTGGAAGAAGAAACAGGATGAGGGAGTATTTAATGAATGGCAGGACATTGGGTAGCTTAAAGTAACAGAGGGATCTTAGGGTAATTATTCACAGATCCCTGAAGTCGGCAGAACATGTATATAGGATAGTTAAGAAGGTATATGGGACTTGCTTTCTTCAACCGTGGCATGGAGTACAAGAGCAAGGAAGTAATAAAGAAGAAGCTGGCCACAGTAAACTGGGAACATCACCTTACAGGTAAGTCTACAGTGGGGCGTTGGGGGGATTTAAAAAGGAGAATACAGGTCCAACATGTACCCTTTAAGAGGGAAAGGCAGGAGCAATAAGTTCAGAGAACCCTGAATGTCTAGGACAATTCAGGAGTGGATAAAGAAGAGGGGTACAGCTTTTAGCAAGTCCAAAGGGAGCAATTCAGCTGTGGCTCTATAGCAATGCAGGAAGTGCAGGAGGGAAATTACGAAACCAATCAGAAGAGCAAAAAGGAGGC